AGTAGCAGTTACTGGCATTTGGTGAGTTTAATCTACAAACATGTAATGGAGCAGGAAGAGAGCACACTGCAGAAAACTTACTGACGATGTGTTCGTTAGTAGCAGTTAATGGCATTTGGTGAGTTTAATCTAGAAACACGTAATGGACCAGGAAGAGAGTACGCTGCAGGAACCTCGCTGACGATGTGTCCGTTAGTACCGGTTAATGACATTTGGTGAGGTTAATCTACAAACAATTTATATTGCTCTCTTGATGCGTCTTACCCAATTGTAACTATAAAGAGAAGAGTATCGTAAGGTTTATTGTTTGGTTGTTGTTTTTTAAGTTCTGAACTTCTAAAGATACGAACAATATTTATCATTTGCAGAGAACTATGTTAATTACTCTAAGATTCTTGTTTTTTGGCGTTTAGAATTTGCCTAATCTTAAGCCTAATACCTGCTTGACCCTTTTGATTTGTATCCTACGATCAAAGAATATGTGTGTATAAATCCAATGACATACTGTATACGATTAAACAAGATTATGTTGCAAGTGTTTTGAAAACATGATAGCTAGTTATCTTCCCTTGAGAACCCATCTTTTTTATGGCATGCAAATGTTTCAGATGCATTTGTGTTTAATTATTATGTAGTATCTCAGGTATTTTTAAAAGAGCAGTTGCGAGCCCATCGTTACTATAAAAGTTGTATATATATATATACAAATATACATATCAAATGTATAAAATACAACTTATTTTCAAAGGGTAAATTTAAAAATTCTACGAGTACATATACAAAACGTTAACTTAATTTCAACACAGTTAAAATCTCTAAAGCTATTTTCCATGGTACGGATAGAAAGTGGTAATAATGATATTGTTCGTGAAATAGGTGATTAAACATTGAAATAAGTGTTATATTAACCTTATATGTGTTAGGATTGTTGTAAATATTTATCCATTGTTCGTGTTTAGGTAGAAGCTTTTTTCGTAAAAATATTCTTTTTTCGAACTTTAGAAACAGACTTGGCTCTTAGGTTTTTTTTTTGTTTTGTCTTTTTAATCTCGCGCAAAGCTACTCGAGAGCTATCTGCGCTAGTCGTCCCTAATATTGAAACTAGCCAACACCAATCCTTGAAACTGACAGTTATATTATAACGCTCCAATAGTTGAAAGGGCAAGCGTAATTGTGAGTCGAGTGTCCTTACCACAAAAGCACTCCAGGCCAAGTCTTTACGTAAAGTTAGTCTATCAGAACAGAATAATTGCCATAAGTGTTAGAAGAAAATGCTTATTCGCGCTCTTTTGTGTCCTAAAATTTTCTATAAAGTGTTTTTTTTCTTTATTTCTTCTCTAGTGTGGAAATTGTACAAAAAATATAGCGCTTAGAATATTACCTTTAAACACATTTTCAACGAGTAAATGTTTTTTTAAAGAACAATTTTGTAAATTAAATTTTAGTTCTTAATTAACAACTGGGTTGGTAACGAAGTGTAAGTAAACATTGCCCTGCAGTATATCCAGAAAAGTTTACTTCGAATTCCCCCCCCCCCCCCCCCCGCCAATGGCACAGCAGTATGTCTGCAGATTTACAACGCTAAAAACCTGGTTTCTATTTCTGTGGTGGGCAAAGCACAGATAGGCCATTGTGTAACTTTGTGCTTAATTACGAACAAACAAACTTCGAATTAGTGAAACATCAAGGGTTTACTGAAAAGGATGTATAACTAAAAGAGATCATCGTACATTAATAATCAATAAACCTGTCATTTTTATCACGATTGAACTGTTTCATTTTTATCCCAAACTTTTCACGTTCAGCTCTTTAATTTACGCGAAACATTTGTTTTCACCCGTGGATTACCATAAACAGAAACTTATTTAGATAAGTGGCTATTAAGTGTTATAGAACAGCAATAAACCAATAAGCCTTTTAAAAAACATTTCAAGATATCTTGTGCACATGGGCTAAGCGGTCAGGTAAGAAGACTCCTAGAATTCAGATACATTCAGAGGCTTTGAACCAGATAACATAACTGACTGTCACGTTTGTAACGCGCCTCAACTGCATATTCATTAGTATCACGTCTCGAACCCTATACTCTTCGATCTACAGTCCAAAACACTAACCACTGGACTACTTCTAGCCCAGTTATATGTGAAAAAATATTATAGAAAATTATTAAATTATTACATTTTCCTATCCGTGAAAACAAAAACTGACAAGAAACCTAAGATGATCAGTTACGAAAAACTACAACAACAACAAAAATTACGAAATAGAATTAACATTTTTTCTTTTTTACTATACTGCTTATCTTAACCAAATTCCAGGTTGTATGGAATAACGTAATTTTCGACAAAGTTATATTTTCATATATTGTAGAAAGAAATAGAAGCTTTTTTATTTTTGTTTCCAAAATTCGAGGTTCAAGTTTCGATTGATTAGTTTGTTTAACAAACTGTATTATCTCGTGCTGTGTATTTCATTGGTTAGTCTATTTAACAAACTGGATTCTCTCATATTGTGTATTTCGTTGGTTAATCTGTTTAATAAACTGGATTCTCTTGTGCTATGTAATTCGTTGGTTAGTCTGTTTAATTCGATTCTCTCGTGCTGTGTATTTCGTTGGTTAGTTTGTTTAACTAACTGGATTCTCTCGTGTTGTGTATTTCGTTGGTTAATCTGTTTAACAAACTGGATTCTCTTGTGCTGTGTAATTCGTTGGTTAGTCTGTTTAATTCGATTCTCTCGTGCTGTGTATTTCGTAGGTTAGTTTGTTTAACTAACTGGATTCTCTCGTGTTGTGTATTTCGTTGGTTAAAATGTTTAACAAACTGGATTCTCTTGTGCTGTGTAATTCGTTGGTTAGTCTGTTTAATTCGATTCTCTCGTGTTGTGTATTTCGTTGGTTAGTTTGTTTAACTAACTGGATTCTCTCGTGTTGTGTATTTCGTTGGTTAGTCTGTTCAACTAAATGGATTCTCTCGTGGTGTATAGCTTCGATTGGTTAGTCTGTTTAATTAACTGGATT